GTAGGGATGTTTTAATTTCCGAATACAGTTAGCACATTGTGGCTTTGTTCGTAGTTAATATTGTTAAGAGTTGGCTTTTTCTTTTTTTATTATTAAAGCTTCCATTATTTTTTAGTCTTTTTTTTGCAGGTGAATGCAGTTAATATATTTGTGGTTTCTACTAGTATGTTTCTAATGGAGTCTGGTAAGTTTGTGTGTGTGTTTAAATGGGTTCTAATGGAGCTGTGATCAGATAGGTGGAACGTAAGATGTCTGGATAAGCATGTAGTTGTGTAACCGATGTAATTATGAGTCGGTATAAAGGAAGGATTGCTGCCTAAATATACAACTATCAAATATATATATATATATATATATATATATATATATATATATATAATATTAAAATGTTTTTCACTTAAGTTTCATGTTCACATCGGAGTTTGCTGGCTATATGTGCATAACCATTCTTTGGCACAGAGTTTAACTCTGTTTTGACGAGTGGGTTATATCGCCTTTACTTTTTAAATAATATATTTATTTATTATCGTCAATAAATCATAATCATGGTTTACCTTAGTGATACGGAGGGCACATATATTTACTCTAATAGATCGACAGAATAATAAATAAATAAATCTGTTAAAAAGACAGTAAAATTATTTTATTGCGTGCTAAATAATGACTTCGTAATCTCCAAGTATTTTAGGCTTAAATTTGTTTTAGCTAACTTTTTCTAAAATTAGACTTTTCGATATTTTTCTTTTTCTTTTTTTTTTTAAGCATCCCCCCCCAAGCAAGGGGTTACAGAAAGTGAGAGCATGAGTAAAGAGGGGTGTTTGAGGAAAAGATAAACAGAAGGACGGGGATCAAGATTAAGGCATCAGAAGATGTCGATTGGCATTACATTCGAATATTTGAAGATTATAGCTACCAGGGAAGCAATTAAGAGGAAGGGAGTTCCACTGTCGGGAAGTGCGAGAGAAGAAGCCGTTGGAGTAGAAGAGTCAGTTAAATTTAATCGTTTCGCCAGAGAAAGGGTGGGACCGAGATGTCAGGGTAGTAGCACGCTTAAATTCATGCAGTTGGGGTAACCTTGAAAGTAGATCGTTAGAGCAGTTGCCATGTAAATATTTGCAGAAAAGACAGGGAAGCCACCACTGTGAGATAGTGACGGTAGAAGAGATGCCGGATCAAGACCTATTATATTGCATATCCGTCTTTGGATTTTGCCGAGGACGAAGAGATGAAGAACAGGAGCACCGAACCATATATGGCAACTGTATTCAATACAAGGAAGAATGGTTGATTTGTGATTGTTTAATTATGTGCTATTTCGTAATTTGCCTTGCTTTCTAGCGTTCATGTTTATCGAACGTTTTACATATTTAAAAAATCATTAATATTTTGAGCTTCTAAAAACATGTAATACATACAAATGTTTTATATATATATATATATATATATATATATATATATATATATATATATATATATATATATATGTATAATTCAAAGACTAGCATAGCCATAGGTGATAGTGGTGACAAGCTCCACTGTGTATGAAATGCTTCCGTGGTATGCGTTTCATATAACCTCTCATAATTAATCGTACGGAATAGGCAAAGGAGGAAGTCCTAACCAGCTGCTTCGGGTAGATGAACCTCTACAGCCCAAGAAGGCAGGTCCATCTAGGGGCAGGAAAACCCCGATTTTAAACCTTGTGGCCATATCCAAAACACGGAAAAAGCTATGGGAGTAAACCTGGACAGAAAAACCGGAGTGACAACTGCTGCAGCCAAGGCAGCCCCAAATGTAATGCCCCAAATTACAACGGGTCTTTTCGGTACGGCCAAAAGCGGGGCCATGTAGACTTGGGTGGCGTACGGCCTTGACATGCAGGGTGCGATGGAAAAATTGTCGTCTAATATAGGCAAAAATGAAAATAACACTGATATTTCATTTTAACAGATATATTTACCAACATTACACAACAATATCTTGAAATATTAAAGAGTAAATTTATTCAGTAAAATCGTCATTGGCTTCAACCACGGCCTCCAGACGACTTCGGAATCTCCTGCAACTCTTGTGGACAATCCCCTTGTTTAAGCTGTTGAATGCTCCCATAATCCTTACCTTCGCTAAGGAATTTTGATGGTCTCAACTGCATCGCACTACATAATAATCAAGAGGGTTGCAGTCTGGAGAGTTATGTGGCCAGATGTAAGGGGTGAAGTGGTCGCAGAAATTGTCTGACAGCCATTTTGGGGTTCTCTTGCATATGTGGCATGGTGCAGAGTCCTGTTGCCAGACATAGGGTCTTCCAGCAGTCACCCTCTTGACCCAGGCCAGCACTACCTTATTAAGGCACTTGATGGAGGCCTCCGTGTTGAATCTGAGGCCCTGTGGGAAGATGAGGCATACTGTTGCCATCGTTAGTGATCACTCCAAACACCTTCGAAATCACCATTACACTCATCCAACTCTTTCCCAATCCTCTGCACTGTCCTCAGGTTCAGACCCAAACACATTGAATTCCAAGGAATAAAGCATGCCGTTTTCAATTTTGCTGGAGGTGTGAATTGCGTCATGGTGATCTTTTTCTCACAGCCTGTGTTTGCTCACTGGCGATCTATGTTCAAACTCAAGTGTCGGCAGCGACACTTTATTCGTATATAACAGACAGTTTACATGCGAGGTACGTTGGGCCTGGTGGTAAATCATTTTCTTCTAGGGTTGCATAAAAAGCATGCGACCCTGGGTCTTTTTTATCCATTGCGGTAGTTCGCTACACTTCGACATTGATTGAGTGAAGACATCTGTGTTTGAATTTCTGGGACTTATAAACCATTTTTACCAGTGCTCATATTGCAATTTTTGTCGTTATTATTGCATGTTTTTCACAAGACCACTGGTAAAAAATCGTTGCTGAAGACATTAAGTTTATCATACCCAGAAATTCATAGACATATCCCCAAGGACACATGGCACAGTGGATAAAGGCGTTAGTTAATTCCAGTGACAGGACCCAAAGACTTTGAGTTCTATACCTGGTTAAGGCTGTGGAGAACGGAGAGGGAAATAAAGAGGAAATAACTGATAATTGACATCTATTAGACATGGCACGTGGAACTAGAACAGTCTACCCCAGCGAGCCAAATAATGGGTTCAGTTCGATATTCCAGCCACCTGAAGATGTTCCGAAGCGTTGTGATAAATATGGCAACAAAGATGAGGACGAAAGTCCGAGCAATATAAATAGTGTAGCTCATCTCAGAAATATGGACAGATACGACAAAAAATACTGATTAAAGTCAAAAAAATAATCGTTGAAAGATAAAGCGGTTGTATACAGATAGCAATTTCGATATCTGTGTACGTGTTTGGTGACATGCGTGACATCCATATGAAAATCCAGATGTGAAGAAGCTATTCGACATTCCAACCACCTGAAGAAGGCCGGAGCGTACACCGGCCAACTCTCTCTCTCTCTCTTGCGGCCTCAGCCGAGATTGAACTCACCAATACTTTGATTGGTGTAGTTCATAATCTTGTCAAATAGCTAGATTCTTGATGCTTCGCTAGGGCTATCAAGGGTGTTTTTACCGTGACACCATCACTAAATGGATTGCCAACCAAGGCTCAGAGAGACTCCATTCACCCTCATCTAAGAGCAGGTTTGAATTCAGAGTTTTCCTTCTCCTAGACCAGTTGCCATCCAAGGCTATAGAACCCAGTCTGTCCTGCTAGCGGGAGGGAGAAGAAAGAAGATTCACACCTTTCCCAAGGGTGTTAGCACGTAAGTGAATGTAATGGATTCGACTGGAATTCGAACTCGGCTCTCCGATTCCTCAATCCAAGCCAAAACGTTATGATAAATATGCCAACAAAGATGAGGATGATAGTCCGAACAATGTAAATAGTGTACCCCATCTCAGAAATATGGACAGATACAGATATGAAAATAGTGTCGTGTACAACTGACAGTGTAGACATTTCTGAACAAATCTTGGCGCCATTCATGACACACATGTGAATGTCTCGATTTGACGAGACTATTAAAGAAAAATTACACGAGATTTGAGGTTAATGCCTTTGTTTCATTGTAGTTTGCGGTTTTGAGCGGAGCTCGCCTTACGTAAATGAAAATAAAAACAAAATGTCGGGAAAATTATGTTAAGGAAGTGCAAGTTTTTGATTGGCTGCTTAAGGAAGTGCAAGTTTTTGATTGGTTGCTGGAGTTGACTTTATTTAAAATGGAACGAAAGAATAAACAAAAAGAATACTCCAGAAATGTCTCCAATAATAATAATAATAATAATAATAATAATAATAATAATAATAATAATAATAATAAACACTCAATGAACAATAAGAAAAGCACAACTGAAGAAAAACAAACAAACAAACCTGAAACGATTTTGCCGTCACTCTGAAAGTAATTAAGGAGATCCAGCAGACAAGAGGAAGACGAGAAGTGAACTGTCACTTTTACCTGTTTGGCCATAACCTCACCCTACTTTTCGTGGTCGGCCTCTCTCCACCGACTGCACATCCCTTCTCATTTCATAAGCGAGGCAAACAAACAACGACACGTCTTTAAATGACACAAATTGCTCAAATTATACCATTTCTAGCCAGTTAGCGCCATTGGGATATTCAATTTCCCAACCGTTCTCATCGTTTGGCAAGAAGCTTTTTTTTTTATTTTAATTTTATTTTTCAACGTTTTTTTTTTTTCTCTAATCGTCCTCCATTTTAGGATCTCTTCTTTAATTTTTTTCTTTTCGGCGTTTCTATTTTTTTTTTTTTTTTTTTACTTCCTGAAAATTGTCCCACTATTTTTTTTTTCCTTCACAATGTGTTAATTCATTTCGGCATTATTCGGTTTGTTCATTCTAAATCTTTTTGTTCTCTTTTCTCTCACTCTTTACCTTCTGCATTCCTCGTCACGACATTGTCTCTTTCGGTCTCAACCGTGTCGCTTCTGTGTTCGCTTGCTTTCTACATAACGACAGCGTTCTTTTTCGCTTCATACTTTCGGTTTATGTGTCTGTCTTTTTCTCCTGCCTTCCGTCTCACTTCAATGTCCTTCTCTCAAGCTTCATCTACGGTTTTCTGTGGCCCGACAGCGTCTCTCTTCGTCTCATTGATCACGTGTCTCTGTTTGTCGTTATTTTAATCTTTTCGTGTTACAAGAGCGTCTCTCTTTAGCTTATTCTTGATGTTTCTTTGTCTCCCTTTTTTCCCGATTTCTGCCTCACTTCAGCGTCTCTCTGTCCACCCTCATCTATTCTTTTCTGTGGCACGGCAACGTCTTTCTTCGTTTCATTCTTCATGTCTCTCTCTTTTTCGTTATTTAATTTTTTTCCATGTTCCAAGGGTGTCTCTTTTTGGTCCATTCTTCATGTTTCTCTCTGTCTGTCTGTCTTTTTCTACCGCTTTCTGTGTAACGACAGCATCTCCCTTCGTCTCATTCTTGATGGTCATCCATCTCTCTTTTCTTTCTGCGACTCAACAGTATCTCTCTTCGATTCATTCTTCGTGTTTCTGTCTTTCTTTTTCTCCTTCTAGCTGAGTCCTGTCAGCGTCTGCTTTCCTCCTTTTCTGTTTAAATCTCTCTCGCCTCTCTCTTCAACACTATGCTTTCACTAATATTTCCTTTCTCTGTTCAACTTCATGGTCTTCACTTCGGTAATCGGCTTTTTATTCTTAAACACACCCCGTCTTTCACTTCATTCTTTTCTTTATTTGGCAATTGCTCTTTTTTTCTTCTTTTTTTTTTTAAATCTGAATCACCCCAAGCAACGTAGTAATGCCACTAAAACACAAGGGGTGACAGGGTGTGGAAGAATTAGAAACAAAAAAATTAATGATGAGCATGTTAAAACCTTGAATGATGATATTTCATCATTGTAAAAATATAATTGCCATAAGTGATGATATAAAATAAGGATATATTATCATCACTGAAATAAAGCTAAAACCAACCAATTTAGAATCAATGTGTTCTCCTCATCTCCTACAGTAATGGTAATATATTAACCGTTTCCCTATAAGGAAATATTCTGCATTCGTTGACCGAGCAGCCAGTGCAACTGTCAATTGAAATTCATGACCTTTTCCCTATACGTTTTTCTGATCCATACACGGTTGTATTTGACCTTTTAGTACACACACACACATATATATATATATATATATATATATATATATATATATATATATATATATATATATATATATATATATATATGCATATTTCATTGAATTCGACAGAGAAAGTGCTTTGATTAAGTTTTTAATATAATTTCTCATGCGATCTAATATTTTTTTTCTTTTCAGATGCTAAATTATATAAAAACTGTCCGAATGTTTTTTCCGAGCGCTTTCGGCTATACATTTAGCCATTTTCAAGGATGAAATATTTTAACTGTTAAATAAGAAATAATTTATTGCATGTACGTATTTATATAATGGACATGGACACAACATCTTCACCGTGTTTTGAAAAATGAAAACATTATAAAAAAAATATCACAAAATATAATATTAGGCATACTCTACCGAAATCCCCCAAAATGTAAATAAGCAGGAAATGACAAGGTAACAAAACTTTAGCTCTATCATCCATCATGAAATCATAAAACCCTTGCCCAAACTTTATCTATGCTAATTAATAAGCCAATGAAAATCCAGAAGGTATTGTATAACTCCTACTTAAATCAGGTGAAATAGATCCAAAAAATTATAGGTCAATCGGATATATATATATATGACATAGAAATTGATCACGTCTGTACTGACGAATTCAATCAATTATGTGCCTACGTAATACACGCTTAGGCGATCATATATCTTTCGATACAATTTCCCCCGCAGTAGGGTGCCATTTCTTTCTGCGGTAGACCAGTTGACATCTATAGAACCCGGTCTGTCCTGCTCGGGGTAGAAGAAGAACATTCATATCTTTCCCAAGGGTATTAGCACGTAAGTGAATGTAATGGATTCGACTGGAATTCGAACTCGGCCGCGATCCATTACTCCACCGTACCTCTTAGTCTTTTCTCGGTGAAAACAACATGCTTCCCATGGAAAGGATGCAGAAGAGGTACATATGGCTGCAAAGGTCAACTAATAAAAAAATGATCCTGGAAAATTGCAGGAAAAAAGGTACAAACATCCGCACAGCATAGATAGATTACCGTAAATCCTTTGATAATGTGCCACACCCTTGGATCCTTAAGCCTTTGGAAATGTACAGAGTCTCTTCGATGATAGTAAATTTCCTTGAATATAACATGAAACTGTGGAAAACCACATTATACCAAAATCACCAAAGGTACTGCTAATTCCAATTATTTGAATATCCGATGAAGAATCTTCCAAGGAGACTCCTTGTCGCCTTTTAGGTTCTGTCTGTTTTTAATTCCACTTTCGCATGAACTAAACAGTAATAATTATGGATACAACGTTTAATTATCTATTCTATATGGATGATATCAAGTTCTTTGCCAAATACGACAGTAAGTTCAAGGCTATCCTCACTACTGTAAAATGCTTTAGTAATGATATCGGTATAGATTTCAGATTAGATTAATATGTAAAAGCCATATTTAAGAAAGGGAGAATTGCGAAAATAAACACTCAATACATCTAGAATTTGTCACAAACATTAGGGAACTAGAATAAGAAGAAGCCTATAGGTACGTTTCTGTTCTGTGTGACTTAAATTCCCCTTTCGCCTGAACTAAACATCAATAACTATGGATACAAAATAAAAAAGGTGTTTAATCGCCTATTCTACATGGATGATATCAAACTCTTTTCCAAATACGACAATGTGTTGAAGGTATCTTCAATATCATAAAATGTTTCAGTGATGACATCGGTATGGATTTCGGATGAGATAAATGTAACATTCAAGAATGGGAGAATTACAGAAACTCACTAAATAGATCTAGATCCCGTCAAAAAGATTAGCGAGCTGAAAGAAGAAGCCTATAAATACCTAGGAGTCAGAAAAAAAAGAGATGGAATATAGCATACCCAAATGAAGGAGAAAGTAAGAAAAGGATGCGACAGGCTTGTATGTCTAGTGTTAAATACCTAATTGAATTCACAAAACAGAATATCAACCATAAATACTTTGGCTGTTTCTGTTTCTGTGGTGCAATGCAGTTTCAACATCTTTAATTAGGCCATAGCTGATATTAAGCGAATTCGTGACAAAATGCTTCTCACTTGATGCCACATGCATCAACCTAAGGCTGACGTTGATCATTTGTATGTGTCCAGATCCGAAAGAGGCAGAGGATTAGTTCAACTAGAATTGTCTTACGAAATCAAAACAATTGGTCTTCAAAGAAAGTTGGAAATTACAGAAGACTGGATGATGATCTGTTTAAAAAAATATGAAAAAAATAAGAAACTTTATTCACTAATAAAGATAACTAACAAATTCCAAGGAGAATTTCACGTCGGCGAAGAAGTTCAAGTAAACCATAATACGCCTACTACAACAGCAAAGAACGTAAAAAGAAAGCAAAAGCAAATACAATGTATCAAATACAGAAACGATAGCAAGATAAGCCTCTTCGGGCTCAATACTCTACCCGTACGAAACAAACTGATGTAGACAAAACCCCATACCCATCAGTGGTTACATAGTGCAGGGTTAAAAGCTGAAACCGTAGGTTTATTCTTGCTGCACAGAGCCAATGCTTTCTATCTAGGAATGAAGCACGCATACTGAAAAACTGAGTTAACCTATAATGCAGATTCTGTGATAAATAGCCAGAAACACTTGACTACCTTGTATTAGGTTGCATAGTATTAGCACCTACTAAATATAAAACTCGGCATGATTGAGTGTGCCAATATATGGAATATTTGACACTTTTTTAGGAAGAAAGCTGCAAATAACTGGTGTGAATATCGCCCAGATCCGATTAGAGAGATAGGACCTGTGACAATGTTATGGGATTTTGCAAGACACACAGACAGAACAAACAAAGTTAATCGCCCAGACATCGTTATCAAAGACCACAAGAACAGAATGTGTTTTCTTATTGACATGGCAGTCCTTGCAGACTTTTAATGTATTTTTGAAGATTTAAAAAAAAATAGTACGAAAATACAAGGATCTAGAAATGGAAACTTAAACATATGGCTAGGATATCAGTAATTCCAGTTGTAGTTGGAGTCCTCGGATTGATTGGAAATGGTTCCCATAGACTCACTGAAGAGATTCCTAGTAGCCCATGCCTTAAAGAAATAAAACAAAAATGTAATCACAAGTGCAGCTCACACATTATGTAGATTTTTATCTATGTAAAATGTATGTGATCTTTTTTACATAAATTCTCAGTTGAAAATGTCATGAAGCCATTTATGATCTTAGGTCGCTGGTTGGGACTCGGAAAGCAATGAGTATGCTACAGAAATCAATAATAATAATAATTAATAAATAAATAAATAAATAATAATAATAATAATAATAATAATAAGAAGAAGAAGAAGAAGAAGAAGACGAAGAAGAAGTAATATATTGGCTTACCCAAAAGAACATAAAAAAGAAACAAAGATGGGTGGGTATCACAGAAAATGATGTTGACTTTACATTGAAAAAAGCACACAACTTGAAATCTATTTTGGCTCTATTATGTAAATACATCACACACACAAAAAAAAAAAACTTCAAGAGATGTCCACTAATCCTGCTAAAATTGCAGCATTGGTAACCAAAGGAATTACCCAAGAATGGTGACACAAATATCCCCCAAAACTACAGACCAATTACATGTCTTCCCATTACTTACAAACTGCTGACATCTGTTCTGGCGATATTCCTTCTTAGAAAAAATGTCATACTATCACTTAACGGATGTAAAGACAAATTACTGATTAATAGGATGATGGAAAACTGCCCCAATACAAAGAAACATCTCAGTTCTGCCTGGATAGATGATCGAAATGATATTCAATAGTGTATCCTATTCATGGATCTTAAAGTCTTTAAATATGTACAAAGTATCACCCGTCTTCATTGATTTCAGCAAAGAAATATGTCGATATGGAAAGCAACACTTCAACTCAATCATATAAATGGAGTCTATAAGTCTGGTGAAATAAACATTAACAGAGGAATATTTCAAGGTAACCCTTTGTCTCACTTACTATTTTGTATATTCCTAATAGCATTAACCAGCGAACTTAAAAGGACTGAATATGACCATAAGATATCTCAAAAGAAAATAAGCCGTTTATTTTGCATGAATCACTTAAAGTTGTTGGCTAAGAATAACAATGAGATTAAAGGTCTCATGGAAACAGTAAAATGTTTCAGTGATGGCATTGGAATGCAATTCGGTTTGGATGAATGTGCTAAGGCTACAATTTTTACGAGGATCACTACAAAAGACTTCCTCTATTACTTTAGATTCTGGGGTAACAATCAAATATTTAGAGCCAGAAGAAGCTTATAAATACCTTGTAAATGAGAGCGATGGAATTCACCATAAAAATGAAAGAAATAATGCGAAGCGAGTACTGTAGAATGGTTCGACTGATAT